TACCTGGAAGTTAGTCCAACTGGTGTGGGTCGCATCCTGGGACAAAACTGACCTAATTTGCCCGAAATGCTCTGTATAACAAGCGGCTTTCTATATAGTAGTATGCCATTAATGTCAGCTAGGACTGTATACCTTGTACATGTACTTGTAGAAATAAAGATTATTATTATTATTATTATTATTATTATTATTATTATTATTATTATTATTATTATTATATTATTAAGGCAAGTCCTCTTACACTTGTTCAGTTATCAGTAGAAAAGAAATCTAAGAGTTATTCGATTGTTGTAGGTCGCATTCCAAGCTGAGGTTCGATAGCAGCTCTAAGCTTTAAATTTAACGAAGTAAAATGTAGGATCTATTTACTGCTAGGTGAACAGGTATAAGGCGACATAACCAGCTTCTGGCCTCAGTCCTCTAATTTCGTTTTCTGTAATAGTAAAAGAAAACTTATAAATACAGCCATGACTAAAAGAAAATTTGACTTCGGCTGACTGGACCACAGAGTGAGGGCTGCAAGACAGTGTGTGTGGGCTCTGCCTAGACCATGATATATATGCATACATATACAAGATAAATCTTAACGAACAATTATCAATGAATAAAGTGAAGAATGTAGAGAGACTCGGACCGTGGTTCATGCGGGTAGCAAACCCAGCGCTGTAACAGCAAAAGGACCCCAATGGAAATAAGTCACTCTGTCTGGCTTTTTTGGGTTATCCTAGGTACTTTACATATATGCTGCTATGTATGATAATCTATGTAAGTGTACTTGTGTATACCTGAATAAATTTACTTACTTACTTACCATTCAGCCACGAGGGTTCTAGTAGCAGATATTACAACAAGCACTTCTAGTTATATTGGTGACTATCAGCTGTCACCCTCCTGTTTCATCCCACGCCCCTACGGCTTACACTGGAAATTTATTCTCTTAATCCTCAAAGCCATATAGTCTATATACCCAAAATGAGTTGGGACGAGTGTCAATGAATTAACAAAAGAATGAACGGGGACCCGACCTTTGGTCAGTATAGGTAGAAGGTACAGTGTTGTAATCATTCAGCTACAAGAGTTCTAATAGACTGAGTCCACAGCCAGCATTTCGGTAATATGGTTGTATCAGAGGCCACCCTCGTAGCTGGGCATGCTACCCACATTGACCACTTTTTTATTTTTTTAATCAGGAGAAAGCACTACATCCCATTAGATCATGTAACGCGTTTGAGATATGACAGGAATTCAAGTTTGATTCAAGGAAGAGAAATATGGTACAAGTGCAGTTCGTTTAATCAAGAGATCCCTCATCGACACCAAGGCGCTGTGTATTTTTGTTCAGTAATAATAATAATAATAATAATAATAATAATAATAATATCTTTATTTACTACAGTACATGGTATACAGACCTAGCTGACATCAATGACATACTACTACAAAGAAAGCCGTTTGTTATTCTGAACATTTCGGGCAAATTAGGTCAGTTTTTGTCCCAGGATGCGACCCACACCAGTCGACTAACACCCAGGTACCCATTATACTGATGGGTGAACATGGTCAACCGGTGTAAGGAAACACGTCCAATGTTTCAACCCCTTCGCCGGGAATCTAACCCGGACCCTCACCGTGTGAAGCGAGAGCTTTTGCCACCAGGCCACGGGGTAAAAACTTACTGAACAAAAATATAAAAAAACAACTTGCGTTAGTCTTTTTTTTTAGAATTTGGTGCGCTTGTCTTCTCTTTCATATTTTGATGTGGTTTCACTGTAATCGTGAAGAAATAAGGAGACGGTTAGCGTGTGTTTGCAGCTTTCAGAAGTAGACCTTTCGTTAGTGGAGGGCCATAAAAAGACAACCAGAAGCTGTCCAAAAGACACAAGAGCATTGCAAATCAGGCATGTGTAAAGTGGAAGGTGAGAGAGAGACTGGGACACAAGGTGGTACTTCACTCACCACCCCAGACAATGCTCTCGTATACCCAAGAAAACGTGAGCGTCTGAGGCCGCCGGTGTTGAAGAAGTTTTGCGGTCTGCGGCCAGTAGTGGCGGTCTCGGATGGTGAATCCTGGGTGGGTGAGGAGTTGTACCACAACCAACACCAATGTGAGGTGAGTTACGGTGTGGTGGGCAATGAGGTTGTGCCGAGACTATGGCTAAGTGGGTTGTGGGGGGCACAGAGGTTATGCTAACAGTATGTTTGAGTGGGTTGCGGTGAGGTGGGTTATCGTGGGTTGTGTTGGACCAGTGTACATACCAGTGTATCCCCAGTGTACGAACCACTGTACCGATCAGGTTACCACCCAGTGTACCGACCATGGTACCAATCAGTGTGTCAACCAGGGTACCACCTAGTGTGCCGACCAGTGAACCGGTCAGGGTACCACCCATTGTACCGGCCAGTGCATCAACCATTGTACCAACCATTGTACCAACCAGGGTACCACCTAGTGTACCGGCCAGCGTATCAGCCATTGTACCAGTGTATCACCCAGTATACCACCCAGTGTATCAACCATTGTACCAACCAGGTACTAACCAGTGTACCGACCAATGTACTAACCATTATACCAAGAAGGGTACCAACCAGTGTACTGGCCAATGCATCAGCCATTGTACCAACCAGTGCACCAACCATTGTATCAATAAGGGTACCACCCAGTGTACCAGCCAGTGTATCAACCACTGTACCAACCAGTGTACCGACAAGGGTACCACCCAATATACTGGCCAGTGTATCAATCACTATACCAACCATTGTACCATCCAGTGTACCAACCATTGTACCAACCAGCGTACCAACCACTGTACCAACCAGGAAACCACTAAGTGTTCCAACAATTGTACCAACCATATTGTGTAAAAATCTACGGGAATGGGGCTGATTATTTCATTATTTATGTTTATAATGCTATGATGCTGATGAAGGGCTCTTCATCCAGGAAATTAGAGTTACCATCCCATACCTTGGACCAAGTACGATTATCTCTCGTGCCTCAGGATATTCATATAACTCTTATGGGTTTAGCGCTTTCCCATGAATGCAATAATTATAATAAATAATAGTTTTAATAATAGTAATCAAATTAATGCAATATTCTTGTGCTTTCAGTTGCTATCTTCTTGTGTTCTGTCATATCTTAAGACGGACAGTGAGGGTGTGGATAAGAGAGGGATGTGGGCGTGAGGGAGGGACTCCTTGGACCTCAGAACAGGAGAGGGTGGGTGTGAAGGGTTGTGCGAGGGGTGGGTACGAGGGTTAGCGGGGTGGGGGAGGAACACCATATATATGTAGGAAGCCCCTGGAAACACATCAAGTCTTTACTCAGAACATCTACTTACTTTTTTTACTCACCTACGCACATCCACACAATTACACGCAACATCGGTGGTTCAGTGGTAGAATTCTCGCCTGCCACGCGGGCCAGGTTTCGATTTCCGACCAATGCACATTTTCGGGGCCAGGAGCTGTGAATTGACCCCTGTAGGCACATACAGGTGAGTACAACATTATATATATATAATATATATATATATATATATATATATATATATATATATATATATATATATATACGAATTGTTTTAGCATTTTTTTCCAACACACCGGCCGTATCCCACGTAGGCAGGGTGACCTAAAAAGAAAAACGATTTTTTTTTTTAAATTTAGTAATTTATACGGAAGGGTTATTAGCTCTAATTTATAAGCATATATATGTCGTGCCGAATAGGTAAAACTTGCTATTTTGGCTTAAATAGTAACGCTCTTCTTGCCGAGTAAGGCGAGCGAAAATTTGTGCATGCAATAATTTCGCAAAAATCATTCTGAACCTAACGAAAGAAAATATATTTCATCGTGTTTGTTTATTATTAAATTATTGTAAATTTATCTAAAATATATTTAGCTGGATTAAGTTAAATTAAATTGCACTTGTTATATTCTTACCGAATATAAGTTCGGCTCAATTCAAATCAAGACTACGGTAATACGTAGAGGTCACA